TGGAATAAATTGTAAATCATCAGAAAATTTAATATTTTAGTAAAGAATCATTTAACATAAATTGCACCCATTGTAAGGTACTCGCGATTAAAATTTGAATAATTATTAAGAATAAAATACTTTGATATGAAATCTGGTTAGTACATTCTATTATATTACAAGAGATTCATTAAATCTCGTGGAAAATAACTATTTCTTTTAACAAAGAGACTGGAACTGACATTTCCCTGTCCCATTGGGGATTAATATTAATCACAGTGAATTGAATGTGATGTTGGCTTTTCCTCAATGTGCACCCTTTTTGGAGTCGATTAATTGTTCTGGAAAAACAAATATCCTGTTATCCTTCAAACAATTAAACAACTCAAAATAATTCCCCAAGGGAAAGGAACGGCTTTTTATTTGACTATCTATCAATGAAGTGATAAATAAATATATTACAAAACAAATGATTGAATCCGCAAAAGTTTGTGTTTTGTAAAAAAAAAAGGAAAAAATGCGTAAATGCATACAAAATGGTTATGGAGAGAATTTTGTAATCTGGTCTGGAATCAGGAAAACCGTACATAAATTGTTCCAGATATTATTCATTCATTCATCGCTCAGTGTTACAGTTTTCAGAATCACAAAAAAGATTAGAAATGAAGCCATGGAAAGGTAAGTTTGCAATTAAATATCAGATTAATGGAAATTGAAAGAATGGTATGATTTGTTGAATATACTGAAAAATTTGATTCTGGGGACACATCTTTTTAAAGTAAATTTTGAACTATTGCACTGATGAAAATGTCAATTTGCGAATTTTTTTGCAGAAATCCATAAATTTCTAAAAATTTAATTTAAAAAAAAAAGCGGAGTTATTAATTAAACTATGATTTTCAAACAAATTGTTTCAAGTATGACGATTTTGATGTCATCGTGTGAGGTTAAAGGTCACCCCTCTGAGCATATTACACGGTGAACGATCGCTCTTTATGGCAAATTTCAATCGCAGTGGCGCCGCCGCGCGGATTTTGCTCTCTTTCATCTCATTGTTGGGCCGGCGTCCACAAAGTCGTCGGCCGCCATCCACGAAATTAAATTCCCACCTCTATTTATCGCGCGTTTAGCAGAATAAAATTACAAACCATAGACGCGGAGGCCATTCAATAAAATCACCACAAAAGGCGGCGCCGCCGGTCGCGCGCGTGCACCGTTGGTGCGGTTTTAATCTGATAATGGCGACGAAAGAAAATAGTAAAATGCGACGCACATTATGTATGCGGTGGTGCACACACGACACAAGTGCAGTGCCTTGCTTTCGTCTGCTATTTAGGTTGGAAAATGAGGAACAAACACACGGGAGAATTTTGCGCCGACGGGGATAATTGCACGTAATGAATGAAAAGAGCCGGATAAGGCTTTATTTTACCAACACGGTGTTTTGTTCAACCCTTCTCACTCTAGTTTCACTTGCGTTTTTGCTTTTATTTTGCAGAGCTAGGCTTATTATTTGAGCGTATTGTTGTAAGTTCTTGGAAATTTAACAAAACAAAATTTGAAGGAGCCTCGAGCTGTGCAATTAAATTGAGTGTTTTATATTGTTTAAGTGGAAATTTTTATTAAAAATAAGCATTTATTAAACGAGGAAAAGGTTAGAAGTAATCGGTCGTTATAAAAATCATAAAAATTGTGTTAAAATTTTTTGTGGTAAAAATACAATAAAATTAACAGCATAAAACTTTTGTTTGAAGAAGTTGACACTCGAGGAGATGATATATTTTTTGTTTTTACAACGAGGAAAGAGCCCAACTTCTTCATTTCCAGTTTAAAAACTTTCAATTTATGTTTACTTAAATTTTCAATGAAAGTCAATAGGGTGTCCCTTTTTCCTCATTATTCTTAATTTAGAGATAATTTCCACTTAAGGACGGACTCCTTAATCCTTAATGGAAAACCAGTCCTAACAGTCCAATCAAGACTTTGCAACAATAGGATAAATTTTTGGCAATTATTGGATCACAATTGGAAATGTTTATCATTACTGTTGTAAAGACTTGTTTTTACAGAGTCAATTAACGATTGTGATAAAAAGTATTTTTATTAATCTAAATTTTAAGTAAAAGTGGGTCAACTTCTAATAATATTTCATATTAAAATAATATACAGATAATTAAATTTTTATCTCGACTTTTAAAAAAACCAATAAATCATGAGGATGAACCTTTTATTTTGAATAAACCAAGATAAAACCTTGTTTTTACTGAGCTGACAATAGTTTTTAATTAGAAACTCAACCCGTTTGTGCATAATCGCCAAACAAAGAGCTTGCGAGAGCATCGACCGAGCGCTTATTGCAATCGCGTTCGTTCGTTCGTTTATGGGACGCGCGCGGCTGATAGAAATGGATGAGAATTAAAAATAGCAGATATTTCACGGCAGGATGCTTCCATTTTTAATAACCAGGCTGATGGCAGGATAATAGGATCTACCCGGAGCAAAGAAGGGCCTTTACCGCAGATGAAAGCGTTCGAATGAGAGAAAGAGAGAAGCTGCTTTTTGCTCGGAACACGATTGCAGAACGAATTGGCTTGTAAGCAGCGCGGCCTCTCAATGATTAACGCCGAATGAACGCACTTAGCGCTTTTAAATGAGTTTCTCGGCGCAAACTCGTCAATCGCCGTCGAGGGAGAAATTCCCGGTCGCAACTTTCATCGGACAAGTAATTACTGCTTTGCAATTTTCGCGCCGCAAGTCTCGCGGACGACCGAGTTTGACGTGGACTGTCGTTTTCAAGGTACGTATGCAACCGCTGCGTACCGTCGGTTTTGCGGGCTGCATAACAACAACAAAGCTTGCGGCTTGAGTCAAGAGGGGAGGACTTGCTGTAGGAAAGCAAGGAGGATTGTGTCGTTTGTGACGCATAGGATTTGCCGGATAATCGCTCGCCTGCGGAGTAATGCGCCGGGTGGTTTTTAAACTTTTCTCTTTAGGGCCGCCGCGTTTCACCGGCAAAAAATCTGTCTTTATGTCTGTCAGAGTCTATTGGGTTAAATGCCACGTGTGTTTTTGGACATGCTTTTGCTCCAAAAGTTGTTGTACTTGTTTTAAATTAATAAATTATTTTTTATATAAATTTTATTTCTCTTTTTGTTCAAATTTTATGTGCTTAAAAATATATATTGGAAGAAAATCTATTGTTAGGGATGCATTGAATTTATTGGAAAAACAAGAGCACTAGCAAATATTTGGTTAAAACTTTCCAAATCAAAAAGAACTAATCTGCCGAGGTGAGCATAGGTTGACTTACTTTTGGTTCTTGTAAAAATGGATTAAATATAATCGCTCACAGGGAGTGCTGCTTATTCTTAGTTTATTTGATTCTAATCATAAAATTGAATTAGGATTTTATCGTTTTAAAGCAGATTAGAAGTCAAGAAGTTCATGCAAAAAAAAAAAAATGAAAAAAAAAGTAAACAAATATATGTTAAAAAAAAGAATTGGATTTTCTTCACAAATCAGGATTAAACGATAGAAAGATTTGTGATATAGCAAACAATTTTGAACAGAACCAACAATTTTATGCATTTTCCGTGAGAGTTTTGGTTAGGATGGTTGGGTGTCAGAAAAACGCACAAGTTAAAAAAATTTAATTTAATACGACTTAAAATGTCATAATTATTTTATAATTATATTTACTACACATGCAACATTTTTTTATGTGAGGGCTGCATTTTGCATGACTTTGCTTCAAACAAACGTATTTTGGCAATATCATATCATTCAGAGAATTCAATCTTTTAAATTTGGAAATCTTCACATATTTTTTCTCCATTGAAACTTTTTTTAACCTTAGAACAAGCCTTATAAAAATATGATATAACGAATTGAAAAAAGTGTTGCTTACTTTGCTGGAAGACAAAAAATAAACGGATATCTATGAATGAGCTCAATGTACATTAATATTCAAGAGAAGATTATTATCTTGGTAATCCCTTTCATATGTTGTGTTAATTATAGCTTTTTACTTAAATAATACGGAACTTTCTCGCGTTGTTAACCAATCTTACCCAATAGGAGGTATGAAGGATATTCCACGGAACACTTCAACAAACCAAAGTAAATAAACAAATAATACTATTTATTCTAATAAAAAGTGAGAAAATTTCCGTTACTTTTTTATCCATCGTTTCATATATGCTGTGCGCTCATAAGTTTGCACAAATTACCGCCGTCAACAAATCCGTTTGTTGTATTTGCCTGACGCAAACCGCGAAATTGATTAGCTTTTCCTCTGTGTGCAAGCGTGCGTCGGCGGCACAAGCAAATTTTCTCCGCTCGGAAAAGGCGAGTGGCAAATCGAAAAGGAACACTCGTTTCCGCGTCGCCGAAAGTAAGTAATTACCAGAGAGGACGCGGAAAGCAGGGAAATCCAAACACGAATAAATAAATAAAGTGGCAGCGAGCGAGGAGAGTGGGCAAATATTTACCGACAAAAGTTATTTCGGCAAATCACGGCTTTAGAGAAGAAAGAAAATAAGTTGCCGAAAGGGAAAAGGACAAAGGCTGGCAAATGAAAAGAAAGAATGAGGCACTTTATGAAAACGGTGGGCGCGAAATTATATATATTGCTGCGTGTCAGGCGGCGCGCGAGAGAGGCGAGCACTGCGGGTGTACAGCGTGAATAATTATGCAGCAGCGAGAAAGGGAAGAAAAGTTTTTGTACCAAAAAAAAATCTGGCTGCCGAGAGCAGCGGAAAAGGGGCGCATTCTTTCGCAATTCATTATCGTGTCCCTTTTTTCTGCACGTGTGACCAAAAAAAAATTGGTCCAGGTGAGAATGTATATATATTTTTTTTCTGCCGCGTTTATAATTAAAAATAATAAATTCATAAAAGAAGAAGGAATTCCTGCTGAGTTTTCATTTCGCTCGGCGGGGAATTTCCGCGTTTAATTAAAATTTGCGCCTAAATAAGAATTAATGATTTTTTGCTCAATTTAAAAAGATGATTGAGATTTACCTTTGACGGCGAGGAGCGCGAAGAGCACGGCCAGCAGGCAGTCGAGGCGCCGCATGCCGACGTCCGAAGCCTCTCCGGCGCCGATTCCCTCGCGAACAGGTCAACACGGCAGCGCACAACTGACTGAGCCTCGCGGTGAGTCAGTCACAGGAGCACCTAGGCGACTCACGCAGATGTACGAGGGTGGCGCGTGCGCCGTCGCCTCTCTGTACGATTTCTTCTTCTTTTTTCGGGGTTTATTTTTTATAGTAGCGGGAAATCTGTGACCAATTCAGGTATGTGTGAGGGAGTGTGTGCTAAATTGTCTGCGACGGATTTACTTTTTTTTATTGTCATGTAGATGGAGGGCGGCGGCGCGCTGCTTTTATTGCGCCCCGAAGCGGGCGTGAAATGACGAAGCTAACAAGCTTTTTCATTGTGAGAATTGCATGTGAGAGAGCGAGTCGCAGGAGAAACGCCTTGCTGCTTTTTCGGCAGTTTGCTCCGTCTGTTAAAGTTTTGCCCCAGAAAGTTTGCAAACATATTATTGAAGTGTTAAACGACGCTTTTCTGTCAGGAGCAGTTCAAATGATTCCAGAACACGTTCACTTAGGGAAATTGCAAGTTGAATATTATTATATGTGATTAAATGGAAATCCCTTTCCCTTTTATGTCATTGGCGACTGTTTAGAGATAAGAATTCATGTCTTCAAAACCATAGAAATTGAAATTTTGTTATTCAAATTTCTAACTAATTGAGAAAAAACATTCTTTTGGGTCAATAGATAAGTAATAATCCAATTTATTGTCAAGCTAAAAAAAAATGTCGTGTTGAGTTTCTCTTTAGTGAAACTTTCCCTTCACAAGAAAATCCTCCTTCTTTAAGTTACAATTCAAAAATGTTTTTTTTTTTATTAGTTTTAAACTTTAGCTTGCAAGCATTGTAAGTTTAAATACACAGCTGTTTTATTCTATTTTGATTTTTTTTTATAACACACGTCATGATTAACCATATTCCTAATTTTCCAATAGATAAATTAGATATGGCGTGATAATATAAATGTATAAAAAAACGCAAAAAAATTCAAAGTTACTTAAAGAAAAGTATACAATGAAGTAGAAAATTTATTTACCTAATTTAGTATCCAAAGATTCCTCCTTTTGTGTTTAAATTTTTCATTAATATAGTACAAAAATAAGTTCAAGCTTTTAATTTTTTTAAAATTAAATGCTTTTTATTATTATCTATTTTATCTTTTTTTTTAAATTAATTATTTGCAGGCAATAGACATTTAATTTTAAAATTTTTTTGTTAGGATTTGACTAGATGTTCAAACAAATTCTATCAATGGAGACAGCTTTCAATTGCATTTACTTTCAAAATTCTTTGAAATATTTAGAGTTTAAACAGCTTCACTCCATTATGAGTAACAAAAATTTACATTTTCTCGTATTATTCCCCTCTGCACCTTACTATGTATTTAACATTATATCTTTAAAATTATGCCAAATATTATTCAATCTAGAGAATAGACCAAAGCTGACATAAAATTATTATTTGACGCTTTCCAACTAAAAAAGTGAACAAATATTCCAAAGTGCATTGTAGGTTAGCTTCTTGAAGAATAAATTACATATTGCTTAACCTCACTTTATTTATATTTTTACAGTAAAATTCACTCAACCAAGGCTTGCTTTCAATACTGTCACAGTGAGCAGATCAAGCAGATGTAATTTCTTTATTTTGACTATTCAACCAGTTGTAGCAAAATCAATTGCTGTTTCTTTCCCAGCCAAAAAAAATGAATGTTTCCTACATTTTACTTTAGTTATTTTGAAACAAAATTATACAAAAATCAGCTAAAACACAAATATTCAGGAAAAGAAAGATTAAAAAGACATTTTTTATCATGCTGATATATACAAACAATTTTCGGCCTTTGATATTTAAATATGCAATAAATATTAAATGGTATTAATTTGAATAATTAAATTATACAGTCCGAGAATAAAAAAGATTTAAACCAGTTAAATTTTAATATTATTTCTGTAAGGGAATAGAGCTGCAAATTAATTTTTGCCGTTTTGCCGTGCGAAGAGCATTATTTGCGCAAGCAACATGCATACAGACAATTTAGCGATGCGCTCGGTTGGCCGTGCTAATTACAATGACGGCGGACGTACAGTCGGGCGCGCAGCTCATGCACCTAATTACGCGCCGGTGCTTGCATCGTCTTTCCACCGGCACCGGTGATTAATAATTTCATTTCTTGTTACGCGACCGTTTCTATGGTGACCGCTGATTTATGTGTCCAATAATAATTATTGCACGCCCTGCCGCAGCCGCGCCTTGCAATCTTTGTACAATTTTCGCCAAACAGGACAAACGGGAGAACGAACGTAACGCTGTGTTTATTTGCGTTCGCAGATGTGGGCAGAGAATTAATTGGCAAAAAATTCTCTCGTGTTCTCCCGGATTATCCCTGCGTCAGAACTCTCCAGAATATTGTGGATTTTACGAAACTTTTGAGCATAAAATCTATTCTATTATGCCTGCGATAACCTGACAAAATATTGCTTTTGCTTTAAATCAAAATTGAGTTAATTTAATTAATTGACTAACAACAAGTTTCGTTTAGTTATATTTTAAATTATTAATTTTCTCCCTATAATCCAGCTTAATGAGAGAGAAAATTGTCATCTTTACGGGTGAAAAAAAATGTAAAATTTTTATTTTAAAAGAAAAGTTTCCTTCAGTGAATTTAAGCTTAAAAAAGCTGATTCATCAATTCAGACTGAACATTAAAAAAAATGATGAACAAAGCCAGTTTTTTTTAATCTCCGGTCCTGGAAATGAAAACAAAATTGCTTCATGGAAAAAGCTTGACTAATTTTGTCAACAAGGGAAAACATAATAGGCTGTAGGTGTTAATTGAAAGGTCTGTCAACACGTTATTTCAGAATCGTAATACCATCCTTTGGGAACTTGATCGATTTTCTTTTGTACCCAAAGTTTAATTAGAACTTCCAAAGTTTCTCAACTGTAACGCTCATAAGATCAAATTAAAAATTCAGAGAATTTTTTAAATGATTAAAACAAAATTTTTAACTGGTCGTGACAAAGAAATCTTTTTGATTTAACTTGCCAACAAATTCATGCTCACTTGTTGACTCATTTTAAATTCCTGGGCTATATGAAGAGGTATTTTAAAATTCCTGTGCTGTGAAACTTTTCTGTGAATCCTGTTAGGCAGATTTTTTATAATGCACCGTAGGAATAACAAAAAAATTCTAGCAAAAAAATTAACTTTCAATAGTACAGAGCATCATCTTTTTTTTTAAATCATTGCTATCATAAACTCTGGAACAAAAGTTAACGTAAACTATTTTTAACTTAAATTTACTTCAATATTACTATTTGATCAAAAAACTTGATAAAAGATGGTTTATGTTCTTCAAAACGAAAACAAAAATCTATTAAATTTTTCAACGATCATTTGAGGTTGAAAATTCGAATATATATTAGAACAGGTTTTTCATTTGCATGTATTCTAACAATTCTAAAAAGTGAAAGTTAGTTTAAGATTTCCCAAATCCAGTCACTTTAACAAAAAAAATTAATAACTTTCAATTAGTTCAAGATTTATCAAATTACACCTGTTTACGAGGGAATTGATATTTTGAATACAGCAACAAATTTGCTTTCACTATACATAATATCTGATTAATTTTCATCGAAATCAAACATTTGGTTACCAGGGGGTTGTTTACCACAAATATTTCGCATCCATAGCATGTAAATAAACAATTCTGCAACTTTCGAACCGAGCCTGAAGGAAGTTTTATTAGGGTCGATTTTGGCGAGCTCATAATTGCCGGCAGGGCCCGAATCACAGTGGCGGGAAAACAATTTCGGCTACACTCGAAAAACATGCCCCACGTGACCGCAAACTCTGCGTTTATATGGAATAGGTACACACGACATGTATGAAAAGCGGATTCACACACATCCATCTTCATCAGCGGCCTAGAGCGTGCAGTGCTAATTTCCACACTCTGCCCCATTTGTAATTATATATTGCTCGAAGGCATTCGGGAAAGCTAGAGCGTGTGTACGTAGCGAGTAACGAGAGGGTTACATGCTAGACTAGATATGGAGCGCTGCATCGAACTCGCTCGCGCAGAGGATATTAAGCCATGCTGCAAATCAATCTGCGTAGACGGGTTCGGGCAAATTGCACATCATTAGCAAAATGTGTGAGTGAGTACATGGATGGGGGCAACTCCATCCTGCGAGAGAGGGTTGATTATTAGCGGTTCTGCGAACAAGATTTGCGCTGAGCTTGTAAAATATTTATTAAGATGCCGTAGACGCCGAGGCTGATAATGCGTTCATCCTTAACTGCATTAAAAGTTTTTATGTGCGTTTTGTGTTTTCATTTACATTCGCTGTTTTCAGGTAAATCCTTGTTATAACTCGTTGTCTTTTCATCCTCATCAATTTGTTTACATTTTTTTTATCATCATCATCAAATATTTATAAGAAATTTTTGTTTATATTTAAAGAAAAAATATATTTTTTATAATTTTAGTATTGGTTGTGAAAACTAGACATTTGACATCGGGTCGAGTATTTTTTCACTGCCTTTTTCCTTGGTCTATTTAACTATTAGCTTATTGAAGTATTGAAATTCAAACCGTTTTTTTTTTCATGAGGCAAAATAAGACTCATGGTCATGAGTTCTTTAAATTAACTCTTATTTTTTTCTAATCAAAATTTAAAAACGGTATTTCGGAAAACAGGAAATAGTGTTTAAAAAAGGCAACTCACCAATTTTGCTAAAATACTTTTTTTAAGTTAAAACTTATGAAGAAGCGAGCCTTGGTTTAAGTCTTTTTTTCATTCACTGAAAATGAAGTGATTTGGTGAATTTTCAAGTTATTTTTAAGAAGGTTAAAATAAAACACCGAAAAAAATATGCTTACTAAATTTTTTTTGAATAATTCAAATAATTAATTGAAGTTGATATGTCAAGCCGTTTGTGTTTACAAACAAAAAAACTTTTCCAACATATGAATAAAGCAAACTTTAACCGAAAATAATGCAAATTACAATTCTTAAACTCCTTTTAAATTTGAGTACATACTTTTCTCTATTTCA